GATTTTCCCGCCATTTTTTTTTTTTGGGGGGGGGGGAGTACTGCCTCTCCCACGTTTGAGAGTCTCCGCACCACGAAATACAACTTTTTAGTATTATAGTTGTTTTGTCTAATGGTAAATGTTACAACTTTGAAAAGTCGCTTTTCATGTTGTTTGAATTGTCTAGATCTTTCATGAGGGTAGACACTAGACAGTACCCCAAAAATGACGGATTTTGGCCTTCGTGAGAAAGGCTAATTAGCTATTGTGCCCAGTTATATATACTTGAGACCTTCTTTTAGAAATTTTCTTTTACGCTTTGCAGGGGCTAAATCAGTGTGACCATTTCTAAGGTTATAATTAGTTTGCATGAGGTTTTATTAATGATTCCTTCAAGTTCGGTCCAATGTAACCATCCAAGACTTTGTACATCAGTATTGATTTGGTTGTACATCGTCTCTAAATTGATTGGTTGTACATTGTCTCTAAATTGATTTACCAAAGGCATTACTAAACCCTACCTTCGTTCCTCTTCTCGTTTCTTCATTTCTTCATCAGCTTCTTGCCTTAGGACGTCTAACCGAGCGTCCTCTTCTTGTGCTCGTCTTCGTGCTTCTTCGCGCTCCCGTCGTTTCCTTTCGACGTCCTGTCGTCGGCGTTCGGCGGCCGCCGCTCGTTGTGCTACCCGAGCATTTGCTCTGCGTTGTTTCTCGGTTAACACGATCTCTGGCGAGGGTTCTCGTGCGGGCGCCTCTACTGTGTCCGTTACCACGTTTGTATTTACGTTGTCAAGGTTTGTATTTACGCTCTCACGAAACACTGCGTCTCTGTCACGTGGACAAGCTTTTTGTTCACGTGGCGAAGGAGTTTTATCACGTGGTGAAGGCGTTTTCTCGGGCGGCGATTTCTCACGTGGGGAATAACTTTCAGCACGCGGTGATTTACTTTGAGCACGCGGTGAAACGGTTTCAGCACGCACAGAAACCTCGTCCTCACGGGCAACTGAAATTTTCTCATCAGGGGGAGTTTTATTCCCAGTACGAGAAAGTGACTTTTCAGATCTTGCCGGAGAAACCCTATGTTCTACCTCCCCCGTCTCTGAATCTACCCGAACCGGAATTCCGGGGGGTGGAAGGTCGGAATTTGTAACAGGTTCTGTAGTTTTAAGTTCAGTCTTTTCCTGCAAATCCGGGCTTGCTTGTTTACCATTTCCCTTTTTGCGAACCTCGCCCTTTTTTCGGGCCAGCCCTTTGGGTGGTTTAGTTTCGGGCACTAAACCCGCATGGAATGGGGGAGTCCTGCGCACAACAGACTTTTTCTTTTTCACTTTATTTACAACACGTTTCGCATTTCCCCCTTTTTTCACCTTTCCTCCTTTGTGTACATTTTCTTTCGTTTCTTTCACTGCGGGAACATCTGTTTTCGTTTCTTCCTCTTGCTTTTTATCTGGTTGCAAGTCTTTCACAGTCAATAATAATTCGCCTCCTGGTGACGGGGTAGTCGAGGTTTGAGGAGACTGGGTTCCACTATCTTTACCTGGTTCAGTGTCCACGGTAACAGTGACGTCATCTGTGTGAAAAGGAATAGGATTGGTCAGTTTGTACTGAAGTCTCTTTTAAGCAAGCATTTAGCTAGGCGGTTTCATCAAGCTGAAATGAACTCAACTGAACTTAAGTTTCAACCGTCCTATGGCTACTTTTGAATTTAGACGCCATGAACAGCCTAAGAAAATGTTTTCTTTATAACGTGCAACTCGCAAGCTTGGTGATATTTCTCGAAAAGACGAAAACCTCAAACGTTTCCACCTGCTGTATACTGCTGGGGTAAACTAAAACCAAACTAACTTTATTTATACTGGCCAGCCGTATATGTTCTAAACTGTTCTATCTAGAGGTCCAGGTGATAATTCGCGGTCTCCAGGTCGACCAAGCTGTTAAAAAAGTACCGGTGTAACAGTGATATGTCTATCAGGCTATTCATGGGGTGAGTGGTTAAAATGAACCTGCAGTATTTTTCCTGATCCCTCACATGATTAATCGACAATATTTAAATTTTCAAGTCGTTCAGAAATTGACTATAGGGCTTACTGGAAATTTTTTCAAAATCCTTATACTATGGTAGTATAGGTCTCAGTAGAAAATAGTATAGGAATCCAATTTTCCAGTGGCCTACGGTGGGTTATTGTAAAATACATCCTGTACACTATGTTTGACATATTGTAATTTTATGGAAACACGATTTCTATTTCTTACTGGAAATCAGGCAACGAAACGAAGACATACAAAGAGTGGCCTGTAGTTGCCATTTCAACTTACCAAGATTGACATCATTTTCCTCAGTTTTACTCAAAGTGTCAACTTCTCCCTGTGGTTTTTGCACTTCACTAGAAACTTGATCAACTTGTTTTTCTGCGGGCTTAGAAACTTGATCAACTTGTTTTTCCTCAGGCTTAGAAACTTGTTCAACCTGTTTTTCCTCAGGTATAGAAACTTGATCGACCTGTTTTTCCTCAGGTATAGAAACTTGATCGACCTGTTTTTCCTCAGGTACAGAAACTTGATCAAGTTGTTTTTCCTCAGGCTTAAAAGCTTGTTGAACATGTTTTTTCTCCGACTCAACAAGACTTCTTGAAGCCATGGTAGCCTCAGCCGATCTCACTCTTCTCTTCTCCTTGACTACGCTGTTCCTGGGTCGACCCAGAGGACGTACTTTCTTCGGAGCAGCCGAGCTTGCATGGACATTTTCGGCTACACAAACAAAAATAATAGAGATGAATCACAAAACTATGATACAAACATTTTAAGTCTAACTTGCAAAACTTAAGACGTGTAATTGTTTGATATTTCTTAATTCTTAGCCATCTAGCGTAAAGCACAGGGTATTTTTATATTTCTGTGAAACTCTGAACATGAAATAGCAACAAACAGGAGCTCTTATTGACAGACAGATATATCACGTTTTAGACTAAAGTTTAAACAAAACATTACAGTAGTTTACGGCGGTGGTATGGCTGGCTAGCGGAAAACCAATAGTTTTAAAAGCGACTATAGATATCAACGGGGCACGAAGAACTCTACGACACGTCTCTTTCAAATGTAAAGACCATGTTAAGCCCATTTCCACTAGGCGAATTTGTTTCTCGCGAACAGTAAAAAAGTAGGAACTCATCGCAACTTTTTCATGGCGAATTTTTTCGCTGACCGATCACATTGCCAAGATTTGTTTTTCGCTTCGGGCGAACAAATTCACCTAGTGGAAAATGGAGACAATTTTTACCGCAACTTGCAACACAATGTTGGATACAGAGTCGTGTTATCTAAGATAGTCACAGAGCATGGCCCACATTCTACTCTGCCTGTACATAACATATTCTTAATAGATGAAAAATGAAAGAAATAGGATGAAAAAAGAGTAAACTATGAACCATGCTCACAGCTTAACATGGCCTATAGAAAAAGTACGGCAGCTTATTGTAGAATGCTATTAACAATCACTGTGCTACATTAGATCCCACGTTTGAGATATCACTCAATGAGACAGGGCAGCTCACCTGCGAGACGAGGTTCTAATAATCCTTGCATTCTCTCCAGAAGTAAGAATGTCGCCATTTCTGCATCCGCAGCCAATATCCGTCCTGACTTAGGTCTTGATAACACTTCTGTAGCTACCAATCTTACTTCGTCCTGAAGACTGCTTAGACTCATGTGTGGTACTTGGGGTTCTGTCGCTGGTACCACATCAATGGTGGGCATGGCCTGTTTGGTACTTTCATGATGGTAATCTGGATGACCATCACCATGGGGATCCTTTGTATCACTAGTTATACTAATGTTAGGACCATCACCATCATCCTCACTGTAAGGATGACCATCACCATATGTACCATCATCACCATCACTAATAACACCAAAACCAGCACCACCATCACCAAAATCATCATCACCAAGAATACCACCATCACCATGTACCATACCATTTGCCAAACCACCATCTGTAATCTTGCTTTCACCACTAACACCACCATCCTTCAAATTCTCATCGATGCTTCCACTCTTATGCACCACACCATCGGAACTTCCCAAGGACTTCAAACTTTTGGTTTCATCTGTAAGCTGGTGTATAGACTCTCCATTTTGTATACTAAGGGCATCAATAAGTGAATGTGTGGAAGACGTTCTCCGATTTCTTAATGATCTTGTTTCAGAGTCTTTTCTCTCCAAACCAATGTCAGTGTCTTCTGATGAAAATTAATGAAAGTATGGTTAGGAAAAAACATTAAAAAATACGAAAGAAATAGACTAAATCGGCTAAAGGCGCTGTTACAAGCAACTTGTCTCGCAATGTTAAGAAAGACGATTTTAGCATTGCATTGCAAGGGATTTTACACCAAGCAATATGTTCCATACAACTTGCAATGATCATAGTATAAAAATCGCGAGCGCTAACGTTTGGCGCCAGATTGACAGTCAAAAGCCAATAGGAAGCCATTCAGTGTATAAACATTGCGAGACTAGTTGCAAGAGAGATGTTACACTGTGCAATGCTTTAAAAGTGCGTCGCAGCGTTGCCGCAATCGTTGCAAAAAGTAGAACCTGATTCTACTTCGTGCACTGGTTGTTACAACAAAAATATTGCTTGTTTGATAGACTTGTTGATTGCGAGGCATGATACACCTTGCAATTTCGCTGCAACTTGTGTCGCAACAAAATTGCAAGACAAGTTGCGAGACAAATTGAATAGTGCAACAGCCCTTGAACGCATGGTTTAATATGTCACACTGGAAAAAAGTTGAAAATCCATAGAAGGACATAGAATGGAAATTGTATGGACCTTTATTGGAAATAAAATGGATTTTGATTATCCATAACAATTGTATATTTCCATACTATGGATATACTATATAGTATCGAAAGAATATAGATATACTATGGATTTAGTGGTGCAATTGCAAATTTCATAGTATGGATTTCAGATTTTTTCCCAGTTTCATGTGCTGCCCAATTCACATTCGACAGCTGGCCATTGCCATTGGCCAATACCTAAAAATGTGCCAAAAAATTTTTTGCATGGCATTTTTGTTGCAAGCTATCAACTGACATTTTCTTAGAGGTTAGGCATTAATTAATAAGACTGTGTATGATGGCAACTCTGATTTTGACTTTGCAGCCGAAAATTTGAGCATTTAGATTAATTTGCCTTAGTATTAAAGTACCATGTTACTTAATATGCAAAATTTCAAGTTCACTTTTACATGTGGCAAAGATAAGCCATAACATTAGAAAGTTTGCAAAACAGAATACATAAGAAATATATCATGAAATAACTTGCCTAAATGAAACGAGTCGTCATCAATTTCTATATCAATTCCATTCAATCCAACCTCGAAATTATCAATAACAAGACTCAGGCCAGAACGAGAACTTGCTAAACTAGCACTTTTACTTCTGTTTTCCAAATCAACTGCATCTTTGGTAACTATTGGTGGCAATGAACATACGGATGTGGTTCTACTTGGAACAGATTTTGAACTTTTTGAACTACCAGCTGATTTTGGCCTCCGACCGGATCTCAAACTTTTGTCACTTAGAAGAGATGTAGTGCTTTTGTTACTAGCTGTCGACTTAGTTTTCTGAGTGGGGAGTGTTTTGATGGAATGGTAGCTCTCTGGCGATTCATGAGATTCTGATCTTTTAGTATCGCTAAGGTAGGAAATATCTGTGTTTACAGTTGATGACTCTGCTATGGTTTGTGTGGGTACTGTGATAACATCTCCTTGGTTGTGTAAAGTAACATCCATTAGTAATTGCGTCAAGAGCTCTTCCTTCTCTTTGGCAGATAAGGTTTCGTAGTCTTTCTTAAAGCCAGATTCTGATTCAACCTGTACAAATGAAGCCGAGAAAATGAGTTAGGCCGGTTTAGACGGCGAACCGCGTTTCATGTGCTGAACCTAATCAAATTAAATACAATTGGACTGATGGGATGAGATGGGACTAAAGACGGATTTCCGTATGGTACAAAATGTTGCGCGATTGACTTTTTGCGATCGCTTTCTTTTGAAATACAAACAGTCAAGCGGAACAAATCTCATTAGCTGTAGTTGACTGCACACAATTCAAAAGAAGGCGATCGCAAAAAATCTATCATGTGCGACATTTTGCACTGAATGGAAATCTGCCTTAAGGAATGTTGGAGTCAATTGCAGTGATTATACATGTAGTGTTGATATATGTAACAGTGATATCTATATTTAAGTTTTCGAGTGTCAATTTTACATATTTATTAGACCTACTGTAACCAGGTGCACTGTTGCAAAAAATGAAACTATAATCCAACTGGCAGGATCGAAACTGTGGCTCTGAAATTCTGGTTGCACAGCGCTCTAACCAACTGAGTTACAGAGGCCAGTTGTTGAGCGCTAACCACAAGTTAGTGTATAAGTATACTAAGGTGTTGCCAATGTAAGCAGTATGGGTAAATATTCGACATGAAGAGACATTTATTTATAGATATTAGTTTTATTATCATACACATTACCTCAGCTAATCTTTCTGCTAGAGATTCAACAAAAGTTCCCACAGTTCTTGCTGAGAGTTGGTCATCTATAGTCTCTGAGTTCACAGAGGGTAGCGAGACCATTGACGCAGCGCCGGTCGAGAGAGCATGGTTGTAGAATGTAAACGACCCCACCATTGAGCTTGATGGTGAAACAGGAGGTAGCGACATGGTTTTGTATGGTGCTGGTCTGTGGTTTAGGGGGTTACCATACTTATCCGCTAACAAGGATGGTAGAAAGCCATCATCGGTGGTGCCGAAGCTTTTTAGTGAACCGGTCTCAACAAGCTTTTTCCAAGAGTCGGGGTCAAATGTTGTGTGGCTTAGGTGACTGAGATATCGCTTGGGCGAGTAACCGGGTTGAACGTCTCTGGCATTGCCACTCATGTGTCGCCACAGTTGTTCCAGCAACAAAGGGTCGCACTGAAAAATAAAATGAAACAAAGTTATATGAGGTTTATAGTTTGATCACATGGGTACAACAGGGAAAGTGAAGGTTTTCTGGGGGGAGGGGGGGGGGTAAGATTTTGAGATTTCCAAGGACTGTATTTTTAAGAGAGATGCTCAATGATTTTACAGTGGGGAAATAGGAAAATATTTCCTAGGGGAAGGGGTGCACTGGCCCCTTAAGCACCATATCAAAGAAACATACTAAGTCTAATTACCCCATTTTTCTTGTAATCCATAATGAGTTCCATGAGATCTTTCAAAGTTTGAAGTCTTTCCTCCTTCTGTCTTTTAAACCGCGGTCTTTTCTTTAATCTTCTCGAGCCCGGCACAGAACATCCCTCAGAGTAAAGCAACAGGGCTCCTCGCTTGGTCGAGTATGTTTTTGGAATGTGAAGAGAGTTCTTTGGTACTTCTGGAAGTTTGAATTCCTCTTGTGGGATGTGATACAGTCCATCATGGTCAAAATGTTGATCATGGAAACGATAGGGGTCCTTTGTTATTGGTGGCAGAATGTCATACGTTCCACGATTCTTCATAGAAAATAAGAGTAATAATTATAAGTTAACGCATGCTTTGAGGGAAATTAGTGATTAAATGTCCCCGCAAACCGAGGGAGGTTTAGTGAAAACCTCCCGAGGGTTGCGGGGACATTTAATCACTAATTTCCCTCAAAGCATGCATTTAGTTTGTAAATACATGGTAGCCGAGGGAATCGCGTGTGGTGTGTTGCCTGTTTTGAATGCTGTTTGATTGTCTTATGATTGTGGTACGAACACTTTTCATATATACACACGCGCAGAAACACATCTCCGTGTTCATTCTTTTTAGGCATGCGCATAAACGGAATTTTCTCCCACAATTGAAATGTTCAAGATTGCGGAATAAAAGCTGGCAAAGTGATTGTTCGAATGTGTACGGGACGGTGTTGTCAGATACTGTCCATAGTTGTGCCGATGATTTTCGATGAGGTACAGCTCTCCAATCAGAGGTAATGAGGTATGCTTTTGTCTTCTAAATATCCCTCATCAAGCATGCAGGGGAAAATTAGAAGACAAAGAAATCCTTTGTTTTCAACTAAATATCCCTGTTTCCCGGGGGATACTTAAGTTAGCAATGATTCTGGTGCAGCACTCTAACCAACTGAGCTACAGCTCGTCCAGTTGATGTCTTGACAAGCATTATTTAAACCACAAATTCTGCTATATATATGGTTGGTGATGCCAGTGTCCCAAGGCCCATTTCCACTCAGGAAATTTTCAGCAGAAAGAAAATTTGTAAAATGTGATTGACACAAATTTTACATCGAAAAAAATATTGGGGGGGTTGAAAATTTTCAACATTTTCGGAAAATTTTCTGTCCATGGAAATTTTTGTAGATAGAATTTATAAATATAGTACATAAACAGAGAGATATCTGTGGAGGGGAGAAATTTGTTTAATATCCCACCGAATAATGGAGTGTTTATTTCAGTATTGTCTGCTCGTGCTATATCTTTCAATATTATATTCTCCCTGCTGGGCAAAAGTCAACATAAACATTCATGCCGTTTGTTTTGACTGAGTACATAGAAACAATTAATGTGTGATAAATTATTTAATTGTGTCCGTATCCAAACTAAACTGTCTTATTCTAAACTATACATCTACGTTCGTCTTTTAGTCAAGCAAAACATTCACACACTAAGAATATTTCTATAAAAGCAAAGCTAGAAAATCAGGTGTATTATCTGAAGTTGGAACATAAATACTCACCGGTGAAATGGCCGAATCTGGCTTTTCCGATTTTGCAATGCCTTCCCATGTGCCATAACCTCGAGAAAGATACGAAAACATAATTTGAAAGACTCCTTTTTAATTCAAGGCGTTAAACCTTTTAAATCTTTGTGTTTTTTCATTTTAAAACAAAGATCAAATTCGGCTATAAAGTTCCTCACTTTGCGCTGTTGCTAACCACAAAGTCAAACTCAATATCTCGTTAATGTATGCAAATTATGCTAAAACGTCCCATTCTCGAATTACACCTGAATATATTACGTCGCACATCCGGTGGTCAATTCTCCCCTGGGAATTGAAATGGACCAATAGGCAGTATTATTTTTAGCCAATCACATGCGTTGAATAACATTTAAAGTATAGTGTAAATTAATTCAACGAATTTCCATAATAGCTCATGTCGTCCAATAGGAATGGTCGTTTCTCGTCATGTGACCATTTTCGACCATGCTACGAAATTTAAGATTCTAGCAGGATCGAGCATGCATTTTGTTTAGAGCGTCGAGTTGAGAGAAATAATATCGATTTCTTGCCCGAATTTTGAAGTAGTATTGAAGAAGAAATGTTGAATTTTCAACCTCAAGTGAAACTCAAAGGTATCTACTTTTTATTTCATATAAAAGCGTTTCAAACTATTTGTTAAAATTGCCGATTGTTATGTCGCGTTCGTCTTGCCATAAAGACGCCGAATTTAGCCTCGTTTTATCGTTCATTTTAGTTTAAATATGTATTGAAATGTTTTTGACAAAGTATTAAGGGTGTTTTTGAGTTAAATTTCTTTTAAAATTTGTTGTTTTAGTGGAGAACAAGATGTTAAATTCTCGACCTCTTGTAAAGAGCCTAGTCAGCTATTAAATCGCTTTCTTGCTAGTTGGATTTAAGCAAAAGTTAAACAAGAAATGTCGAAGTCTAGACTGGTGAAACCAAAAGACTCAACTGATGTATGTATATTTTCTATTTTATTTAAAATGTTCATATTTTTGGGCGAATAAATAGTTCAGTTAAAATTACTTGTTGAAGTTGACGACCTACAAAACACTTCGCCGGCGTGACCGTCGCATTGGCGACTTTAGGCGCCCTGTCCAGGCATAATTAAAAAGTAAAGACACTAAAATTTGAACTTAGTCTTGTTTTTCCGATATATTTTTAGTTTAAATTGGTACAAAAATGTTTAGATAAAGTTTCTAGAGTGTTTTAGAGCTAAATTTGTATTACAATTTATCGTTTCTAGTGACAACAAACTCTCATTCTCTTGGTGGATATCTTAGGCAAATGTGCATGGCATTCTCGTGATGGATATCTTGGGCAAATGTGCATTATTAGTTAATTCTGAAGAAAGAAGACGTCGAAAGGTTAGTTGGTCTTGTATCGGTAAAATGGAGGTCCCTGCGGTCAGGAGCGAAGTATCGTGGTGAAGGGCAGGGTGAAGGGGTAAAATATGCGGAAATGGGGGTTAGTACCATAGATCTCCTATATCTATGGTTAGTACTTAAGCGGCAACAATATGGCGGCGGCAACAATATGGCGGCAACAATATGGCGGCAACAATATGGCGGTAACAATATGGCGGCAACAATATGGCGCCGGGCAACAATATGGCGGAATAATCCGTGGCGGCGGCAAGGGGGGGGGGCAAATGCCCCCCCAAATTATTTTTTGCCCCCCCCCCATTTTGCCCCCCCCCCTCAAAAAAAATTATTAGTCACTAAGAGCGACTAAAGGCTGCACAAGCGTTTTGTCGTTATCGGAAAATGTATGGCTTATAAGTTGTCATTACTCATTAGTGAATGCGCGTATACATTAGTTTCAATATTAGTTTGTAAATCTCTGAATGGTAAAACTTGCCAATACTCCAATAATACGTTTCAAAAAAAGACAAAAAAGCTTTAGTTTTGCAGAGTTAAATTCTCAAACGTGTAAGGCACTAATAATATGAAAATATCACGAAATTATTTGAATAAACCACATCGCATATATGGGGGGCGAATGTCCTAAAGAGGGTCGATATTCCTAGGGTATTCGCCCCACCATCCTGGGAGGCGATATTCCTAGGATATTCGCCCCCGGGGGCGATATTCCTAGAAATATCGCCACGATTTGAGGGGGGTGGTGGCGAATCTCCTGGGGGGGCGACCTTTTCAAAAATTCTATCTTGCCCCCCCCCCCCAATTTGAGTTTGCCCCTCAAATCGTGGCGATCTTGCCCCTCCCCCAAAAAAAAATTGAGTTTGGAGGCCTGGTGCCGCCACTGGGAATAATATAGTGATGCGCATAAATTGCAAGTGCGATATAATAATTAACTAGTAAAATAGGGGTGCCCCGTTGAAAAACACGTTTGCGCAATTTAGCTTTATTCGTATATAGTAATATATAGGCAGTAAAAATGTGCTAATTATTGGGGGGAGCCCCCTCTGTTAAATATCGATACATTATACATCGCAATTTACTTTCAAACATAGAAGTAATATATGAAATATTAGCATGGAGGTTAGGCTTAAGCGACATGCTAGTGCATATTGTAACCAGTTCTGTTTTTCCTTGTGTGATTATTTCTTCGTTAACTAAAAATTTCCAAAACAAAAAGTGTTCGTGTTTGGGACGAATAACGTACAGTTTGTTCGAATAAAAATAATTTTTGATAAGTCTGTTTTGGTAGTAGTATGTCTCTCTTCCTCCAACTGATAGTATCTATAGCATAAATTGGTAATCTTCAGAATGCGTGACGTGAGCGTACGAGACAGGGGGGGGGGGGGGTTAGGGG